ATTTGTCAGGTTTAATTCGATGACTGCGATTTATGGCTCTTGCTTTCAATTGATTTTTATTTCAATTAAAATTAGGCATTAGATTTTAAGTGCACCTTTTGCTTCCATTACCCGCAGCAGAAATGCAGCTTTGTCCTCATTTCCAATGCGGCTTCATTGTGTTAAATTGCCTGTGTGCAGCGACAGACTTTGCTTCAGGTTCTTTGCCATCTGTTGGTCATGTGGACCATGTGGGGAGAGTTTTACATGTCACTGGTTTTCAGACTGGGGGAACTGGATATTAGGATGTAGAGGGCACAGAACGGATAGATGACGCTGCAGCTTTGCAGATTATCTAGACATTACCCACAAGTAACCTCTCATCCACACTGCTCACTTCAGGCTGAATAAGCGTCAGACTGTGCAACGTATAGAGGTGTGTACTGGCAAGAATCTAAGGATATGACATGTATCATGATACAGGCTTTACAATTTAATATATTGTGATATATTGTGATACTGTAAGCAAGGTCATATATTGATATATTTAAAAAATCTCATTTTAAGAAATACTATAGTTGGTGGTTTAAACACAAAAATAGTTTTTATTATCGATCACAAATACTATTGCGATGTGTATCAAGTGTATCGATATTTTCACTTGCTGTATATTTTTTGAGGGTTGCTGCCGACAGCACATGGATAATTTACCAGTAATGACCATTTTCTGTGTCATTAAATTTGTGTCTCAATTCTGATCACACAATAGCACACATTTTTTACACACAATGTGCAAAATTAACTTTTTGACTCATCTGCCAAGGGGACTGGTGGATGAAAATGTCCCCCCGCCGAACATATTTTCTACTGGCCAAAATAATAAATTAACCTTTCTGTGTACATTTCACTGAGATAATACGGTAAACAGTGCAGTGAAACTGGGAGTGCTCGAGTAAGTCAGTTTTACAGCACTGTTTAGATGTATGTAAAAACACGTATGGTTGTGTGTGTGTGTGTGTGTGTGTGTGTGTGTCAAACTCAGACACAGAGAGCGGACAGAAGCAGCGTGCCTGCAAATGATACCAAAAAGCGGTCCAGAGTCTGAGCATGTAGTAGACTACTTTGTTACCGGCCAGTGTGGCGGATAGCTTTGTCCACATTTGGAGCTTGATGAGTATTCATTTTGGACCCTGCACACTCATGAATTATACATTGCTGATATTTTGTTTTGGTCCTGGGTTCAAATCCCAGCTAGAGTTTGCATGTTCCCCCTGGGTTTCCTCCGGGTGCTTAAGTTTGTCCCAACTGTAATTTGTATGTGAGGTTCATTCTCTAGTCAGTGCCCATGACCAGGGTACTGGCTCTGATCTGGAGTTAGTCCGTAGTGCCTGTTGTTTTGGTGTGAAATGCTGGTGATCTAGTCGACATCTAGTGGCAAACAAATGTTTGTATATATAACCTTTAAGTCTGCCAATGTTAGCTAACATTAGCCACAATAAGCTACCGGGCATACCAGACCAAGTAAGGCTCATAACACCCCTCTTGTACTGAACTGAAAGGTGCTTTTTATTGCTTCTGAATTCAACTTTTCATTTGTAAGAAACATTGTGTTATTTCTTATTTCTGAATTATATACTGAATACTCAAACTGTGCTGACTGTCACTGGTAATGCACATGATTGACTTGATCTGATAAAGTCACACCAGTGCCTTTATCAGATCAACGCATGAGGAGATTATCTAATCATGTCTTAATGTTATCAGTCAAAAGTAATTCTAATGTCAGAGCAAAGTTTTTTCAGTTCATGCATACTTCCATCAGCAGTGGGACAGGCTGATACTTAATAAAACCCAGTATCTGTGTGCTCCTAGTGTCAGTAGGCTCAGTCCCAGTGGACGGGCCAATCAGAGGAGCTGTTTTCTCTAGTCTTTCCCCTCATTCTGCCTGCAGCCTCCAGCAGGGAGTGTGTGCTTTCCTGTTTGACCCCAGCGGCAGGTTCAGCCAGAGGCTAAGGGTTCAGCAGCCGTAGATTTTTCTCTGCCTGCTCTTAAGCCAGACTCTCAGTGCTCGCTTGTCTGTCACCAGCCTTTATTCCCCTAATGGAGCTTTCTGTGTATGTTAACATGCAGGGAAGTCGACTCAAAGTTTAATCACGCAGAAAATGGAAAAAGGCTCCCCTGCACCTGATAGGGCCTGTACACCGCCATACAGGTACCCATTGACCGCCTCCTCCCACACACGCACACACACACACACACACACACACACACACACACACACACACACACACACACACACACACACACTCTGAGGGGTGTAATGAATCTACGTTTATGCGTCCCATCTGTCTGCAGGTGGTCACACTGCCTCCCAGATGCAGCCATGAGTTTCAAATAGGCAGCAGGGCTGAATTGTTGGCTCTGCCTGTCCTCAGTGTGCGACTACCCAGCCGTCACAAATGCTCCGAAGGCATATCAGTAGCAAAAGTATTTTTCCTCCAGATGTATGTTAAAGTGTGCCGCACCACCTGGGGAAGGCTAATACACATTGTTTCTGTGCTCCAGTAGTCATACGTCCTCATCATCATCTCAGGTGAACACCTTGTTTCACTTATGACATGTCTGATACGGGACGATCTGTGGTGTGACTGTGGGGTCTCTGTAGAGAGAGGAGAAAGAGAAAAACCACTTATTTTATCTAAGCAACCATACGCACAATGAACTATGAGATCAGATATTTTTGAATTAAGGATTATCTTAAGTCAGTGATGGAGGAGAGCACATAAATAAAGTGCTAACAGAGCCACGCTGTTGAGGATACTGTTCTTGTATCCATATTTAAGTCAGACTTAAGACTTAGTTTTTCTAAAAATGATTAATCTATTATTCAGTTAGTCAATAAACATATAGTTAAAGGTCCAGTGTAACATTTAGGAGGATCTTTCTGCAGAAATGAAATATAATATTCATAGGTTTTACATTAGTATAATCGCCTGAAAATAAGAATCGGTGTGTTTTTGTTACGCTGTAATGAGCTAAAATATTTTAATTCAAAAGTACACAAACTCAATTTTGTAACTTCAAAAATTCTTGATTCTTGATGAAGCAGCTTTTATTAGCAATTTTAAGTGACGCTAACTTAGGTTTGTAAGTTACAGAAACATTCCTGATGAAGTACTTTTTACTAGGTATTCTGTTTTCACAGTGCACTGTAATTTATTTGTTAAATGAATGTATCTGATTTACAGTGAGGATTGTTCTGATCCAGTATCCCTACAGCAATGAGCTGTTTTTATCTACGTCTGGTCCTCTTCATGTTGTTGTTCATTGATATATAGTTATTACCTAGGTTGACAGCCTCAGGTGTGTCAGCACAGTCCACATGGATCAGGACAGACCCTGATATCCATGTAAACCAAGGAAAACAAAGTCGCATTGCAGTCAGATTTGTGATTGGGCCAACAGAGACATGAGGAAAAGAAAAACCTATGAAATGGGTTTTATGAGGATATGAAACGTGTAAATAGGGTCTTTGTTTATAGATACAAATTTTATAGAAAAATGTGCTCAAATTCCTTAAAGTGAAAAAAACATAGCGCTTGGATATCGATAGGGAAACTCCAGCTTGCACTCTCTGTATTGGTAATATGTGTGTAGAGATGCTCAGAATGCAACAGCATCCATGTTCCCCCTTTCTCCCCTATCAGATGGCTTTGTGTGCCAGACCACTGGCTTCCCTCCAGCATGGTGTCTCACCATACATCTGCTTTATGTGCAAGCTGCTTCTGACTGCTCTCTGCCAGCAACAGAGGGAAACCATTTGGAGCATTTGGAGCAGTGATATGACCTGACGTCAATGAAAACTAATGTCTGTCTAGTCTGTCCTCATCAATGAAACCAGGTCGCACTGTAGTTGTTTAAAAAATGTAGAAATAACATGGCTGACTTCCCCCACTGAAGCTGTTAACTCTTAGATATACCCCTTGAAATTCAGACCAGCAAACTTTTCTAAATCTTAACACAGCACCATTATGTCAGCTTTATGCAAGTCTACTTAAAGATTCTGCAGAAGTTTTAAACAGAAGATGCTGTCGCTGTTTCATAACAAGACTTCTCCTTGCTGTCCAAACTGCTCCTCGAACCCAGATAAGAGTGAGAATCGATAGATTTATAAACCATCTCATTCTAATTAACCTTGGTGGTCATCTTACTTCCTCAACCTTATTACAGAGGTAACATTTCTCCTCCTGTACGGGCCTGCATGTGCTGCAGACTTCCCTCGAGCCACTGAAGTTGCCGAATGCAAAGCTGCAAATCTGACATGCGCAAAAAGTCACACAGGGTGAATGTAGCGGAAGATTAGATTAAACCGCCAGGGAATTCCATGCAAGGACGAGGGTCCAGTAATTATAAGAGCTTGTCCCTTACTATCAGTAATTGAGTTTACTCTGATGAAGTACGGAAGAAAGTAATCTAATCAGCAGAGACGCTGGAGAGACTGTTCTCCATTTTCTATGCAGATAGGTTATGTGCATGTGGACAGTGGTTTGGTCTCTGCATAGATTCAAAGTTTGGTACATATTCACTTCAAGTTGCTAAGTGGGTTATGATCGCTAGCTTCGATTTTGAAGTTCTGTTAGTGCTTTTGTATCTGCAGAATTATGAGCATACCTAAACACAGCTTTCTGATGAGACTGGTTTTAAACAGAGACTACGTGGACATTTTCACATATTGCAGAGATTTATCAGAAATGCCCTTTGACAGCGACACTTGTACAGTTCCATTGGACTACTATCATCAGGGTACATTTACATTTTGTTTGTCGGATTGTGCTTGAACCAGGACAAGAGGGGTGTATCTGTGGTATAGCCCCCCCAAACAAGGCAGGACTGGCGAGGCAGTCCTGCCTTGTTTCCTGGTTTTAAATGTAAATGTCCTTTTCCGGTTCCAGATGTCTAAATGAATCACTTGAAAACAAGCCTCCTCATCCTCTTTCTTCTCTTGTTTGCATTCCCGGCAGCCATTGAAACGCAGAGCACCAGTTCTGAGGAGCTCGTCCCCAGCCCACCGTCCCCACCGCCCCCTCCCAGAGTCTACAAACCCTGCTTCGTCTGCCAGGACAAGTCCTCTGGATACCACTATGGCGTCAGTGCTTGTGAGGGCTGCAAGGTAGGACTCCCGTACCTCCTCAGACCGGGTTTATCAAAAGGTACTCAGGAATTATTAAATGCTGAAGTGGTTTTCACAGAACTAGCTTCATTCAGCATTTTAAGAGTGAAACCGAGAGCTTTGTTTTCTGCAAGGTTTCTTTTTCAAATCAAATTGTGGAGTTCTGTCTGAACTGCTGATCTGAGACCGGTCTGATCACGATTCAACACAGTCTGAAGGGTTTTTATATATGTTGGTTTTTTTTCACCTGAAAACCTTTCTGACCATTGAAGGACATGGCTATTACTGTGTTAATAAAAATATCAGTTTGCTTTTTAATGTATAAATGGAATGATGAACAAGCTCCTTCCCAGGGACTTTGGTGTCCTCGTCTTTAGACATTTGGTGTTGCACAATGGCTCAGTGGTTAGCACTAAAAGGCCTTTATTTCCCATTCATGTATGGTTTTCTCCCGCTGTCCAAAGACATGCATGTTATGGTGTATCATTGGATTGGCCGATGTTAGCTTATTGCAGATTTACTGCATCAGTGTATTTATTGTTGTCCAATAAATAACAGGAAATTGCAGTACAGAGAGAGAGACTTTGAGTTGGGTTTTTTTGTCAAATGTTGCCGAACTGATTTTATTTGATTATTTTGTAAAATGTTGCTGAGTATGAATCTTGGTCAGAATTATTAAATAAGTAAATTTAAGGGATCTTTATTGAAAATGTTTTTTTATGTTACATGTTTAAATTTAATAAGTAATATCGGCTGATAGATCGCTTTCAGATTCTTTTAAAAGTCTGAAATACTGATATTGGTACTGGCCTCAAAATCCAGTATACACCAGGCTATAGTTTAAATTGCTCATAACTCTGACTCTGAGTATGAATGGTTGTATTATGGAAGAAATACAGAATATTATCAAATATTTTATACAATTAGCTGATAAATAGCTCTGAATGAATGAATATGAGACATGTGTGGACACAAAGGCTGAGCCACTCCATCCAATTTAAAAAAAAAAACACATGATTCACATACTCTGTGGGTCATTATCCTTGCAGATAGTCTGGTTTTATTTGCACAGCTTTTTTAATTAAATGTACCTCAATTGCTTCAGGATAGCACCAGAAAACCTATACAGATACAGTACACAAAAACGAAAAAGCACTAGAGGTAACTGAGAAAAGATGCTGTGTGTAATTTGCGTGAACTGTTCCTTTAAGACCTGACAATAGCTCCTCTCAGCCTTAGTGTGCCATTCTCAAATGTTCTACTTTCAGACATTCCTCCCAACATCTGCCCTGCCAGCACTTGTCTGTCTTCTACCACTTACAGCAGCTGTTGCTAGGCAACCGCTTACACATCCCGCATGCACGTAGATATAGATATATAAACAATGTTCAATAGGCTAGGCAATGAATAGGCTGTTAAGTAAACTATACCTTTTGAAGCACAACTTTCTAACAACTTAAAATTAAAAATGAAAGCTTTACATTACTTAGAGGGAACAGTAATGGATTACAGTTTTACCCTCTGGAGAGCTGCACATGTATTCCTCGCAGACGGCCTGTGTAACTCCTTCCCAGGCAATGCAGCCAGACTGCGGTGTGATGTCCTCTCTCCTCCCCGCCTCTGTAATTGAAGCGGTGGTATGCCTGGAATCCTTTGGAGATTTTGGCCCAGAGGGAGGTGGTGATCAGCTCACTCACTCAGCTCTGGGTCAAACCAAGTTCTCCGCGGACTCCCATGCCGTTTGTGTGCCAACACAAGCTTTATCGTAAAGGCAATGTTTATGAACTGTTCATAAATAGTGTACCCAACAGCTTAGGAGTTTCTAAAATTCAAATATCAATACTTGCGATATAACGTTTTGTTCTGTGTATCCATTGTTTATTAATAGTTTAGTTGCAAATATTCGTGGCAATGGTTCATTTTGTGTTCTGTTTAAACCCGACTGCTAGATAGCAGAGGTTTAATCTATCTTCAGCCATTTGACTCTTCCACTCTAATGTAACAATGTAAACTGAGACGCAGGGAGAAGCAGAGGTGGGACAAGTCATTGTTTTGCAAGTCTCAAGTCTTTGCACTTAAGTCCCAGGTCAAGTCCCAGGTCTTAAACTTTGCATTTTGAATCCCAAATAAGTCATAATGCATTATTTACCAAATGTAATGCCATTTAACAACAGAGTAATAATATTTTACCTTTACACAAATCATTAATGCTTCTTAAATATGTGTATTTATTTGTTAAAACAAGTGTGACCTTAATGATAAAAAAGTTGGGCTGACATTGCACAATGTTTTTATTGGATACAGACAGGGAAAAGGCCGACAGGAAAGGGGAGAGAAAGGGGCACAACATGCAACAAAGCTGGCCGGTTGGAATCCGGCCTGCATGTGCCGTCACCATTCTGTTACCAAGGCACTCCCGAGCACGAAACACAATCAACCAGTACCACAATAGAATGAATTTGCAATATATTTTTGTCGTCTGGTATACTTTTTAATCTTTGGGCTTAGGGGAAGTTATCAAGAATTGTCAAGTCAGAGGGCTCAAAGGAAGTCTTTTTTGAAGTCCAGTCTAAAGTCATCAAATTTGTGACTTGAGTCTGACTTGAATTCAAGTCATATGACTTGAGGCCACAAATCTGTTTTCAACCAAGTGTTTTTTTTTACTGTAAAATGGTTTTCCCCAAAGTAAAAAAACATCCCAATATATCGCCTTGCTCACAGTATTACAATATATTGCAGTATATTCAATTCTAACGTATGTAGCGTATCGCCAGATTCTATAATACACAACTTTACAGTACAGGGGTTACCATTTAATTTATTTTGATCATCTGATACGTGTCGTATCACCAGATTGTTGCCACTACACAGCCTAACACAGTGACAGATAAGTGAAGAATCATCATCACATCACTTGATCATGTGGCAGTGGGACTGAGCGCCCTGAGTGCAGATTGTGCTTCCCTAAAGACAGATGCAGACGGCGAATGAAGTGAAATCACTGTCAGAGTGCTTCCGAGAATACTGGCAATATGGCTGAGTTTCATCCCATCCATCCGCTCACTCTGCGGAGTGCTGATGTAAAAATAGTTCAATACATGGCAGAATGGCCCTGATTTTTGTAACATCCTGACTCAAGAGGATTAAGCAGCGGATTATAGTTTTTCTTTTTCCCCCCGTGTTGTATTTCTGTCTCCATGGCGAAGGCATTGTTGTCTGTGGTGCGAGGGGCAAGCCCCTTCTATTGGATAGATGCAACCAAGCATGCTGTACAGCTGTGGGCTTTCAGCCAGCAAGAAGAGCCTTTTACTGCCCAGCCAATGTGCCAATTAGAGCCACAAATAGACTCAAAGACAGACAGAGTGCGTGTGTGCTTTGTAGCTATGTCAATCCACGTGTGAAGCACTTGTTTAAGGCAACTTGTGCACATTCACATACATGCACATATGCAGCAGTATAATAATGGCACAGAAGGCCCCTCCCAGCTCTGTAAATAACTGTTGCTAATGAGGGTCCAAACCATTGTTGGTTGCTCTCAGCCCTCACAGAAACATAGTTTTTTAGAATTGAATGCAGAGGATTTCCTAGAACTGGCAATAATCCAGGCTTATACCAGTAAACATGATGTTTTATATACAGCCATCAGACAATAACAGTGACATCTGAAGACATGCAACACAAAAAAACTATTTTACTTTGAAATTTACGTGAGAGGGGGTTGTAGCCGATTCCGTGGTCTGTCCAGGGACCATGGTCTCTGGCACGGACCAGTGGTTACTGCCACTAGGGGCACTAGAGACACTGGTCACGACCAGTTGCTCTGTGGTCACAACCACTAGGGGCGCTAAAGATACTGGTACTGACCAGCTCCTCAGTGATCTGCCCTGTGGTCCCTGTGGTCTGTGAAGCGGCTTTAGTATTTTCTCCCCTTTCCGGTCGTTTTGGCAACACTGTTAGCTGGATAAATGTCAGAGATCATAATCTTTTGTCTATAAAATACACTATATCAGAATTATGATTATTATTGTTATTATTGTTGATTATGAAGATCCGTGTGGTCAGGACCAGCTGGTCTCTGGCACGGACCATTGGTTACTGCCACTAGGGGCGCTAAAGTCACAACCAGTGGCACAGCGGTCATGACCAGCTTCTTACTGGGACAAGGGCACTAAAATGACTGGTCCTGACCACCTCCTCTGTGATCTGTTCTGTTGTTTGGACCAGTTGAGTGATCTGTGCAGTGTTTGTTTGTTTGTATTTATTTTTAATACAACTTTTCCTGTGAGAAGCAATAATCGTTTGTCTATCTAATGTTATTGATCACTATTATTAATAGAAATCATAATAACTGTTAAAGTCTGTTACTACATAACAAGAAGGGTACACTCTTTGTACTGTTTCACCCAACTTGGTTACAAACTTTATTAAATTTTGGCGCGTAAGTTACATTCAGCTCGGTCCGGTGACTCAGGTGGTGTCACTTTAAAACATGTCTGTGTGGCACATAGAACTAAACAATGGTTCCTAACAATAGTTCCTATTGTTACAATAACAATGATTAAATTATTATTTTTAGTCGTAGTTGTATGAGTAGTACTATCAATTATGCAGGTCAGTGTGTTTGTGACCTGCCGCACAGTCCTGACCAGCTCCTCGCGACCAGAATTTAATAAAGTTTGTAACCAAGTTGGGTGAAACAGTACAAAGAGTGTACCCTTCTTGTTATGTAGTAACAGACTTTAACAGTTATTGTGATTTCTATTAATAATAGTGATCAATAACATTGGATAGACAAACGATTATGGCTTCTCACATTTAGGCTATTCTGCTAACACAGTGAGAAACGGGAAAAGTTGTATTAAAAATAAATACAAACCAACAAACACTGCACAGATCACTCAACTGGTCCAAACAACAGAACAGATCACAGAGGAGGTGGTCAGGACCAGTCATTTTAGTGCCCTTGTGCCAGTAAGAAGCTGGTCATGACCGCTGTGCCA